TGGGGTGGCAGGGTGGCCTAGTGGTGAAGACGCTTGCCTCCCACTCAGAAGGTTGAGAGTTCAACCCTAGATAGGAGCAGATGTTTCTCTCTCAGGGCGCAAAGAGAAAATATCTGCTGCGAACTCCTTGTAGGTGTCAGGAAGGGTATCCAGCCAGTAAACGCTCAACTTCATCCCAGTTTCTCTGATCCTACCCAGAATTAAAGGATTACAAGAGTCATAAAAAGAATAAATAAATAAATAAATGGGGTGTACTTTTAATAATCATATTCAAATAATGAAGATTTAAATTCATTTAGATTTAAATAAGATTTATTTACTTTTTTAAAAAAAAATCCAATTGTGTTTCTGTTCTATCTCTACTTACTTCTTTATTTTTTGAGCAAGCTTCCGAAAAACTAATACCAACCATGGTTCAAAAAAAAAAATTTGCAGGCACTGTTGTGGAAAACTTCAGTGCATAGGTAGTCCTCAACTTAATGGCCACAACTGAGCTCAAAATTTCCAGTTGTTAAGTGAGTTTTGCTCCATTTTTTTGCTGTCGTTCTTAAGCGAATCGCTGTTAAAACAGTAATAGTGAATCTGGCTCCCCCCCCCGTTGACCTTGCTAGTCAGAAGGTCACAGAATGTGATCACATGGCCCCAGGACACTGCAACTGTCATAAGTACAAACCAGTTGCCAAGTGTTTGAATTTTGATCACGAGGCCATGGGGATGCTGCAACGGTCGTAAGTGTGAAAAACGGTCATAGGTCACTGTTTTCGGTGCCTGTGTAACTTTGAACGGTCACTAATCGAATAGTTGTAAGTAATTACTTGCAGTAATTACTTGCAAGTAATTACAGCTGAGACTCCTTTACTCCATGCTTAGTTTTTTTTTATAGTCCATGTCAGCTGTTTGGCTGTTGAAATTAGAAGAGTTTCAAATTCCATCTGTTTGTTCCCTTTTCGTCAGGCTCCACAGCAGTTTTTTTCGTATTTTTGAGTTCCCTTACACAACGCACACGTGGCTGGCACCTGTATCCCAGTAATTAGCCTTACTGGTCTTTTGACAGATGTTGCAAACAGCCTGAAATTCTTCCGTTGAAAAGATGCTGGCTCCAACCACCGTGAAGTTGCCAGATTTTGTGATTGAATTACTGGGTCTCCTGCTGTTCGTTAGTCCACAATGATTAACCGGTTGTTTGTGGCTGGGTGGAAAGAGGGGAGCGGTCTAGCTGCCTCTTAAAGAAAAGATTTACAGCCTCCTCCCTCAGGCTCTTTCATGGGAATTTACTGTTGAGGTCGCCTAGTTGCTGGTTTAAAGACAGTATTTGTTGCTTCCGTGACTCCATCCAGCCACCTCATTCTCTGTCGTCCCCTTCTTCTATTGCCCTCCATCTTTCCCAGCATTAGGCTCTTCTCCAGGGAGTCCTTCCTTCTCATTAGGTGGCCAAAGGACTTGAGTTTCCACTTCAGGATCTGGCCTTCTAAAGAGCAGTCAGGGTTGATCTCCTCTAGGACTGACCGGTTGGATCGCCTTGCAGTCCAAGGGGCTCGCAGGACTCTTCTCCAGCACCATAGTTCAAAGGCCTCCATTCTTTGGTGCTCAGACTTTCTTATGGTCCAACTTTCACAGCCATACATTGCAACTGGGAAAACCATGGCCTTGACTATACGTACTTTTGTTGGCAGGGTGATGTCTCTGTTTTTTAGTATGCTGTCTAGATTTGCCATAGCTTTCCTCCCCAGGAGCAAGCGTCTTTTAAGTTCTTGGCTGCAGTCCCCATCTATGGTGATAAAATCTGTCACTACCTCCATTTCTTCCCCATCTATTTGCCAGGAATTGAGACAGTATAGAAAGAAGTAATGCCACGTTGGTTTTGTTAACCGCACATTAAGGAAAGTTTGGCTTCCTCTCCACTGCAGTGCTTTTAAAACCGAGGCGTTTGTAGTGGATTTCACTTGAATTTAACTTGAATTTCACAGTTTGGTGAAATTCTGCTCTGTTGGGAACCTGGTGGAAGGTTTAGCACATGGTCCTGGTGCAATTGGGGGGGGGGGGCACAATGGCTCAGAGACTAAAGACGCTGAGCTTGTCAGCTGGAAAGCTGGTAGCCTGGGTTTAAGATCCAAGAGCCATGCGACAGGGTGAGCTCCCGTCCTTTGCCCTAGCTCGGGGTAGGCAACCTTGGCTCTTTTATGACTCGTGGATTTCAACTCCCAGAAGTCCTGAGCCAGCATGGAAGAAACTTTGGCCCCTTCATGACTGGTGGACTTCAACTCCCAGAATTCCTGAGCTAGCATGGCTGTGCTTGGAAACCTCTCCCTTTCCCCTTAGCATGACTGGCTCAGGAATTCTGGGAGTTGAAGTCCACCAGTCATAAAAGAGCCAAGGTTACCTACCTCTGGCCTAGGCCTAGGCGGCTTTATGACTCATGGACTGCAACTCCCAGAATTCCTGAGCCAGCATGGCTCAGCTTGGAAACTCTCCCTTTCCCCTCAGCATGACTGGCTCAGGAATTCTGGGAGTTGAAGTCCACCAGTCATAAAAGAGCCAAGGTTACCTACCTCTGGCCTAGGCCTAGGCGGCTTTATGACTGGTGGACTTCAACTCCCAGAATTCCTGAGCCAGCATGGCTCAGCTTGGAAACTCTCCCTTTCCCCTCAGCATGACTGGCTCAGGAATTCTGGGAGTTGAAGTCCACCAGTCATAAAAGAGCCAAGGTTACCTACCTCTGGCCTAGGCCTAGGCGGCTTTATGACTCATGGACTGCAACTCCCAGAATTCCTGAGCCAGCATGGCTCAGCTTGGAAACTCTCCCTTTCCCCTCAGCATGACTGGCTCAGGAATTCTGGGAGTTGAAGTCCACCAGTCATAAAAGAGCCAAGGTTACCTACCTCTGGCCTAGGCCTAGGCGGCTTTATGACTGGTGGACTTCAACTCCCAGAATTCCTGAGCCAGCATGGCTTAGCTTGGAAACTCTCCCTTTCTCCTCAGCATGACTGGCTCAGGAATTCTGGGAGTTGAAGTCCACCAGTCATAAAAGAGCCAAGGTTGTCTACCCATGCCATAGCTCCTGCCTGCCTACTTGTTGGAAAGCATGCAAATGCGAGTAGATAAATAGGTACTACTTGGGTGGGAAGGTAACAGTATTCAGTGCGCTTTTGGTATACAGTCATGCTGGCCACATGGCCAGGGAAGCATCTTTGGACAATGCTGGCTCCCTCAGCCAAGAAATGGAGATGTGGATCGCGCCTTAAAAGTCCAAGATGACCTTTTACCTGGTGCAAGGAGGAGATTCTTTCCTCCGTTCCTTCTTTCTTCTTTTCCTATGTGTGGGAACTGAGAAGGACTTTCAGATCAACAGGCCAAGTTAGCTCATATCTGTAAAGTGGGGGGGGGGTTGGCCTGTACAAGTGTTCCACTTTTTCCTTTGTTTTAGAGGCAAAATCTTATTGCATGGTGCAAAAGAGAGCAAGACAGGGTGGAAATAAAAATGCACCAATCCTTTAAATATCTTCTCTCTGTTTTCCACAAAGGCCCTAAGCTGAAATATTCCTTCCTTCCTTCCTTTCTTCTTTCCTTCCTTCCTTCCTTCCTTCTTTCCTTCCTTCCTTCCTTCCTTCCTTCCTTCCTTCCTTCCTTCCTTCCTTCTTTCCTTCCTTCCTTCCTTCCCCCCTTTCTTTCTTTCTTTCTTTCTTTCTTTCTTTCTCTCTCTCTCTCTCTCTCTCTCTCTCCCTCCTTCCCTTCCCCTTCCCCTTCTCCCTCCCTCTTTTCCTTTTCCTTCCTTCCTTCCTTCCTTCCTTCCTTCCTTCCTTCCTTCCTTCCTTCCTTCCTTCCTTCCTTCCTTCCTCCCTCCCTCCCTCCCTCCCTTTCCCTTCCCTTCCCTTCCCTTCCCTTTTTTTTTCTTCTTCCTCCTATATCCCATCCAATCCCATCCCACCCTACCCTACCCTATTTTTTTCCTAGTTCTTAGCATAACCTCATAACGCTGCTTACCACAACAGAGAATGTAGCTTGTTGAGTATGTATGTTGGTAAATGAAATAAGCACAATTTAAAGTGCCGCTGCTATTACTGCAGCGTGTAAATTGTAAGATTTTTGGGTCTGTTCTAAAATTGTCTTTCCCAATCAAATACATTTTGGGTACCACTAGACTGCAGTGTCCAAAATTTCCAGCTGCTATGTAATTACCCAGTAATTGACATCTTAAGAAAAAAAATACCCCATCATATACATAGACCTGAGATGGTGTGTTGTTAAAAAAGAAAGAAAGAAAATAGTTTTCCCACAATTGGAATAAATACTGAAAAGTGCTTTTGCTTTCTCTATAACAGGGGTCTGCAACCTTGACCACTTTAAGACTTGTGGACTTTCAGCTCCCAGAATTCCTCAGCCAGCTATGCTGGTTGAGGAATTCTGGGAGCTGAAGTCCACAACGCTGCCGTTTATGGTCCACAAGGCTGCTGTTTATGGTCCACAACGCTGCCGTTTATGGTTCAATCTCTACTTTTGAACTCAGAGAAAAAGGAAATGCCACCCCATTTTCTTAATTGGAAGCTGATCCATTTGTTCACCCTATTTAGTCCACATATAAGGAAAGCATAACACAGCACAACATTGAACAGTGCAGCTTTTCAGCGTAGATAAAAACATACTTTGATCTCTGGGGATGATGTAAGAATTCTAATGATGAATTTACACTGGGGAAGTATTGTAACCCAATTGTCATTCATGCATCAATGTAATTTGAGATAATTAGGTGTTTTTTTTAAAAAAAAAAAATTTCCCACGGTGAATGGTAAGATCCACAAGTTATGGAATAATAACTTCTTTTTACTGTATATAATTCGGGATCATTATTGAAGCTGCCGATTACTTGCAGCCTAAGAGGATTATAAAGCTTAACCGGATTTTAATTTTAGGGAGGGATTGCGAGATTCATTTTAATTGCAACTCTCCCTCATTAGTTTTTACAGGGTTATGTTGAAAGTGTTTCATTTCTTTTCTTTTTTCAGTGAATAGCTCGTTAATCAATGAGACAGTCACGTCATCGCCAGCTTGGCTTATGGAACCGGTAAGCCAAAATAAGGTTATAATACTTGAACTAGTTATGCACAGTGCAATTACTCTTACTTAACTTTTAATGCGTCCTCATCCCTGTTTTATTTTGCCTTAATTTCGGAGTTGAATTAGCACCTGTTTCATAGGATTACTGTATTTTAAACAAAATCACAGTACAAAGTCAACATTTTTGCACACAGTTCGGCTGTGTACATGTTTATTCAGCAGTAGATCCCACTGAGGTCTTTGGGATTTATTTCAAAGTTGGTAAGCATAATAGTTTAACTTTTCCCTCATATCTGTCAACCATCCTGTTAGTAAATGCAGCAAACGAAACTCCTGGGACATCATTTTACCAAGAGTATAACTTTGCTATCCCTAATCTTTGTCCATACTGACACCAAACAGCATCAGTTTGATTGGAGCAATACAAGAATCGTTGGCCACGCTACCACCCGTCACGCTCACAAGTTCATCGAAGTCTGGCACCCCACAAGCAATTCCATCAACAGACACACTGGCTTACAACCAGCCTACATAAACCCCTCAGGATCCAAATCAACCGCAAAAGGCAATGTTAGTTTGAACAGCCTACGTCCTGAGACAATATTTTTAACATCATTAAACAACATCTGCCTAACCCAGGTCCTGGAAGGGACTCGATATATGGACAAAAATGCCAAACCCAGTCTGAACAATCATCATCATCACCATCATCATCATCATAAAGTTGGAAGGGACCTTAGAGGTCATCTAGTCCAACCCCCTGCTCAGGCAGGAAACCGTATACCAGGGATAGGCAACCTTGGCTCTTTTATGAATCGTGGACTTCAACTCCCAGAATTCCTGAGCTAGCATAGGAATAGCATAGCATAGCTGGCTCAGGAATTCTGGGAGTTTAAGTCCACGAGTCATAAAAGAGCCAAGGTTGCCTACCCCTGCCCTATACCATTTCAGACAAATGGCTGTCCAGTCTCTTCTTAAAAACCTCCAGTGTTGGAGCATTCACTGCTTCTGGAGGCAGGTTGTTCCACTAGTTAATTGTTCTCACAGTCAGGAAGTTTCTCTTTAGTTCTAGGTTGCTTCTCTCCTTGATTAGTTTCCATCTGTTGCTTTTTGTCCTGCCTTCAGGTGCTTTGGAGAAGAGCTTGACTCCCTCTTCTTTGGGGCAGCCCCTGAGATACTGGAACACTGCTATCATGGCCCCCCTCATCCTTCTCTTCATTAAACTAGACATACTCAATTCCAGCAACTGTTCTTTATATGTTTTTGCCTCCAGTCCCTTCATCATCTTTGCTGCTCTTCTCTGTACTCTTTCCAGAGTCTCAGCATCTTTTTTACATCGTGGTGACCCAAACTGAATTCAGTATTCCAAGTATGGCCTTACCAAGGCATTGTAAAGTGGTATTAACACTTCACGTGATCTTGATTCTATCCCTCTGTTAATGCAGCCTAGCACCGTGTTGGCTTTTTTGGCAGCTGCAGCACACGACTGGCTCATATCTGGCTGACATTGTGACGAACCATAACTTAAATTATAATTAACAATTGGCTACAACAGTTTTTAAAACCAAATTTGGCCACATTCAAAAAAAATCCAAACTCTGTTGGTTGATCTGGAAAACTACACATAAATCAAGTACAGATAGTCCTCAACCTATGACCACAGTTGAGCCCCAAATTCCTGTCGCTAAGTGAAGCAGTTAACTGAACGTAGGCTGTTCGTACATTTTACGACCTTTCTTGCTCCAGTTGTTAACTGGATCGCCACAATTGTTACGTTAGTAACACGGTTATTAAGTGAATCTGTCTTCCCCATTGACTTTGCTTGTCAGAAGGTTGCAACAGGTGAACACATGAACCTGGGACACAGCAACCGTCATAAATACATGCCAGTTGACAAGGGTCCGTATTTTTTGATCACGTGATCAGGGGGACCCTGCATCGGTGGTACGTGTGAAAAAATGTGTCCTAAGTCACTTTTTTTCATTGCTGTTGTAACTTTGAACGATCCCTAAATGAATTGTTGTGAGTCAGGAGCTATTTGTAGCTTGGAAACTTAATTAAAGGGTGTGTGTGTGTAAAACATAGCCCTGTGTTTTTATAAAATCAGCAGTGCAACAGCTCATGGATCACAGCCAATGCTCTTCACACTTCCGAGTGGAAAAAGGAGAACTTTGTCAAATGAAAACTATAAGTTCTTTTCCTCCCTCTGGGTTTTACAGTTACGCTGTTGAGAAGATAGCTGTGAAAATGGCGGCCTGATGCAAAGAACTTGCGAAAGGTTTTATCACTTTTAGGCTAATAAAAATTCCTCCCAGTTGAATAAGCTGTAACTCAGGGGAGGAATGTTCTATACATTGAAAAGGTTAAGTTAGGTAAGTTAGCTGGTGAGAATAAATGGATTCTGAGCTGTTGGATGTTGTTTAGCTTAGTTCAGGGGTTCTCAACCTTGGCAACTTTAAGACTTGCGGACTTCAACTCCCAGAATTCCTCAGCCAGCCATGCTGAGGGGAAAGCAAGAGGTTTCCAAGCTGAGCCATGCTGGCTCAGGAATTCTGGGAGTTGAAGTCCACAAGTCTTAAAGTTGCCAAGGTTGAGAACCCCTGGCTTAGTTCAGGGGTAGGCAACCTTGGCTCTTTTATGACTTGTGGACTTCAACTCCCAGAATTCCTGAGCCAGCATGGCTCAGCATGGAAACTCTCCCTTTCCCCTTAGCATGGCTGGCTCAGGAATTCTGGGAGTTGAAGTCCACGAGTCATAAAAGAACCAAGATTGCCTACCTCTGGCCTAGGCCTAGGCCACTTTATGACTCGTGGACCAACTCCCAGAACTCCTGAGCCAGCATGGCTCAGCTTGGAAACCTCTTGCTTTCCCCTCAGCATGGCTGGCTGAGGAATTCTGGGAGTTGAAGTCCACCAGTCATAAAAGAGTCAAGGTTGCCTACCCCTGGCTTAGTTGAACCAAAATTCTTGCATTAGCCCTTCTGTTGGAGTCCTTGATACAAACTTTTGAAAAAGCCGGCTGTTCTTAAAGCAGAATGCAAAACCAAGTCCTCACGTAAGTACTCAATTTTAAGTAGTTGGGTAGAAAGGCTAAATTAAATAAACACATTAAAATATGACAGGGATCAACAACAATGAAGGTATCCTGTGCCAGGATTATGGAATATCCTTACAAGATATAACTTGTGTTGTTAGATTTGTCTAAATTACTATAGTCCTGTTTGCTTGATACAGCCAGTCCAGTGAATTCAATTCAGAATACAGTTGGAAGGGACCTTGGAGGTCTTCTAGTCCAACCCCCTGCTCAAGTAGGAGACCCTATATATACCATTTCAGACAAATGGTTGTCCAGTCTCTTCTTAAAACCTCCAGTGATGAAACACCCACAACTTCTGAAGGCAAGCTGTTCCACTGGTTATCTGTTCTCACTGTCAGGAACTTTCTCCTTAATTCCAGGTTGCTTCTCTCCTTGATTAGTTTCCATCCATTGTTTTTTGTCTTGCCTTCTGGTGCTTTGGAAAATAGGTTGACCCCCTCATCTTTGTGGCAGCCCCTCAGATACTGGAATACTGCTGTCATGTCCTCCCCCCCCCCAGTCCTTCTTTTCTCTAGACTGGCCATAGCCAATTTCTGCAATTGTTCTTTGTATGTTTTAGTTTCCAGGCCCTTAATCATCTTGAGACATGAAAATTGATCCTTGAAACAACTCAATCTTTTCACAGGTCCTCTAAGATTTCATTTTGATTGAAGGGATAGTTAGCCCTCAAGTTGGTAGTTCCCATGAAATGGAACTTATCTGACTAAAGAGTTGGTTATACAAAACCCAACTCCTATTTGGTTAATTGGCTTGATTAATTAGCTAAATTTTGGAGTTTGTACTACATATTCATCATCGTGTTCCCCATAACCTACTTGAGCATTTCATGCATTCAAGTATCTGTGTATATTAGGGGTAGGCAACCTTGGCTCTTTTATGACTTGTGGACTTCAACTCCCAGAATTCCTGAGCCAGCCATGCTGAGGGGAAAGGGAGAGGTTTCCAAGCTGAGCCAGGCTGGCTCAGGAATTCTGGGAGTTGAAGCCCGCGAGTCATAAAGCGGCCTAGGCCTAGGCCAGAGGTAGGCAACCTTGGCTCTTTTATGGCTTGTGGACTTCAACTCCCAGAATTCCTGAGCCAGCCATGCTGAGGGGAAAGGGAGAGGTTTCCAAGCTGAGCCATGCTGGCTCAGGAATTCTGGGAGTTGAAGTCCACAAGTCATAAGAGAGCCAAGGTTGCCCACCCCTGATGTATATAAACCACGAGAACCTCTTTGTAATTTGCAAGCAGAAATAACATCTACATACTGGTAACCCTTGACTTTTGACCACAATGGAGTCCATAATTTCTGGTTGTTCAGTGAGTCATTCGTTAAGTGAGTTTTGCCCCATTTTACGACCTTTCTTGCCATAGTTGTTAAGTGAATCACTGCAGTTGATAAGCTAGTAACCCGGTGGTTAAGTGGATCTGGCTCCCCCATTGACTTTGCTGGTCAGAAGGTCACCAAAGGGGATCAAATGACCCAGGGACACTGCAACAGTCATAAATACATGCCAGTTGCCAAGTCTCTGAATTTTGATCACATGACCATGGGGATGCTGCAACGGTCGTAAGTGTGGAAACCGGTCGTAAGTCACTTTTTTCAATGCTGCTGTAACTTTGAATGGCCACTAAGCAAATAGTTGTAAGTCGAGGACGACATATAAACGTAAAGATGACATCCTGCCAAGGTGAACAGCATCTAGCATTGAGCGAGAAGGCAAGAATCTTTGCTTTAAAGGTGCTGTTGTTTTTTTTTTTCCCTTTTGTGTTTACAGCACAATGGAACAATCGAATGGTCATCCCTCACCAAGGAGCAATGTATGAAATTTGGAGGAATGCTGGTGGGGAACAATTGCAAATACGTCCCTGACATCACCCTCATGTCTTGCATTCTCTTTTTGGGAACCTACACCTGCTCCATGGCTTTGAAGAAATTCAAGACCAGCCGTTATTTCCCAACCATTGTAAGTCGTGTGATTTATGATGGTTTCCCTAGCTATTTCTGCGGCATATCCAGCGCCGTTTGATGGTGCTCGAGAATTAACTTCCTGTTTCAGCTGTTCCTCATTGTAGTCAGTAAGTGGGAGGAGCGATGGTGCCCTGAACAGACATGAGTGGCAGTGCGATGGTCTGTCCAGTTGTATCATGGCCTCCCTCCTCCCTACGGTGAACCACAAACCATGAGTACATGGTTAAGGGAGAATTTGGAGAAGACACCCAGTCCTATGGGTTCCTGGGTGCTCTCTGAGCTTAGTTGTTTTCTTGCAGACATTTCATTACCCAACTAGGAAACATCATCAGTGCTAGAAGGGAGTGTGGGAGGAGGAGGAGGAGGAGGAGGAGGAGGAGGAGGAAGACAACGACAACGACTGTGGCGTCCTTGGTGCTCTCTGAGCTTGGTTGTTTTCTTGCTGATATTTCATTACCCAACTAGATAACATCATCAGTGCTAGAAGGGAATGGGATTTGCAGAAAGGAGGAGGAGGAGGCGGAGGAGGAGGAGGAGGCGGAGGAGGAGGAGGAGGAGGAGGAGGAGGAGGAGGAGGAGGAGGAGGAGGAGGAGGAGGACAACTGTAGGGTCCTTGGTGCTCTCTGAGCTTGGCTGTTTTCTTGCAGACATTTCATTACCCAACTAGGTAACATCATCAGTGCTACTGATATTACCCTAGTTGGGTAAAGAAACATCTGCAAGAGAGCACCAAGGACTCACAGTTCAACCCTAAGCTTATTTCTGTTAATCCAGTCTTCTTTGTGCCTTATAAACCAGTAAGTTTATATATGAACTTTGCTCAAATAGCAATAACCTGAGTATTTAAGTTTATTTTAACCCAACATCGTTCACTGCACACTGTCCTAAGCCTTAAGGCTGCACTTAGATAAAAGGTAGTATGTGGCTGAGACTTGTTTTATTACTTCCTCATTTGATTTATGAAGTACCGAACACATTTGAGTCCTAAGCACTAGGGTAACAGTTCTGGGACCAGAGCCAAATTAATAAAGGTGGAACGATTAGAATTTTGGCAACGGCTTGTCGTGTTTAGAACAATATAGGTGGATAGAAAGGTAAGGAAAGAGTATCTTTAAAAATAATTATTATCCTTCCTCAGAAGGGATAATAACATTTTGCTCTCTTAATAAAATGCCTTCTTTTGGCATGGTAACAATAATGTCTGCTTGTGCACTGAATTGCATTCAATAATGTTAGTTTAAAAAAACAACAACAGCCAAGTGTTTTTGTTCCATTTGGTGTGCATGTTTTCTTGTGCATATGCTCTCTCTTCAAAATTCTCATTCAGCTTTGCTCAGGTTTTCACCAGTTGGGTGGGGTCAGCTGAAGAGATTTTGAAAACCAGGATTATGAACGAGTTTGATGGGAAGGGTCCTCTGAGGTGGGAATGTGGTAACCAAGTAGATGCCAGAATCTTCTGGAATGTTCTTCCGCCGAACTGACAGAGTTGTGCTGTTTCTAGTTTCTGATTTTCTACTTGTTATTTTCAGCGTTGGGTTTTTTTTTTTTTTTCCCTGCATATTTGTCAGCCCCTTAAAACGGGCAAGTTTAAAAAATTGATGTAATTGCCTTTCTGTTTCAGGCAAGGAAATTGATCAGTGATTTTGCCATCATCATTTCTATTTTCATTTTCTGTGGAATCGATGCTCTGGTTGGTGTAGACACCCCAAAACTCCTTGTGCCAAGTGAATTCAAGGTAAGTTTAAAAACTGTTTCCTCCCTTCTTTTAAGACAGTGGTTCTCAACCTTTCTAATGCCGCAACCCCATAATACAGTTCCCCATGTTGTGGTGACCCCCAACCACTTATACATCACCGGGTGCCAGGGGCGTGGCCAAAGAAAAGGGGGAAAAGATGGCGGACAGCCTTGTTTGGCAACCCCCATGAAATGGTCGTTCGACCCCAAATGGGGTCCCGACCCACAGGTTGAGAACCACTGTTTTAAGAAGACAAGGAATTAGCAATACATGGAGGACGATTATCAAATCTGGGCTGCAAAACCAAGATGACCAGCAGATGGCAGCAAAGATATACATTAAAACCAGCTCTTTGCTACCACATTGTGGTTTCTAGGATGTTTGCAACCTATAATCAATTGCATAATCCTATCGAAGTATGACTTCATTGTACATCTGCATCATAATTCGTGCCTCTACTATTTACTGCTATAGAACACTGGGACAACTACACTTTGCAAAGCGCTAACGGGGAACTTACCCTTAGTGACCCACCGACTCATTACAGCAAGTTTTTCAGTACTTTTGAGCAGAGGCGATGGGATAAGCATCAACAAGCGTGTGAGATCAGAATAAAGACCCAGAGCAAGACAACTTTAATCTATAGCAGGGGTGTCAAACTGCTGGCCCGCCAGCTGGAGGCATCATGCCAAAACCGCACCCATCCCAGCTCCAGCAATAGGGAAAAAGTTGTGATACGTCACCCCTGATCTATAGGGTTTTTAAAAAGTTTTATTTTAGAAATTAAATTTGGTTAATATGACAGCTTCTATATATTTGGTATTTTCTCCTTTCTGTAAATTTAACCAGCCACTTTTGCAGATCTTTAAGGGACGCCTTTACGATTTAGGGTAAAAGCACGTATAACTCATCACTTCACATTGGGCAATCTTCTGTGCAATCCAGCTACCTCTTACAGTAGGGGTGTCAGGCTGCCAGCCTACAGGCCGGATGTGTCCTGCGGAAGCTGTGCCCACCCCATCTCCGGCAAGGAGAAAAAAGTCACGATACGTCGCAACACGTCATGTGACGTGGCGAGCTTGACACCCCTAGTCTTACAGGGAGTCTTGATTCCATACTGCAGCAATAGCCACCTGCCAATAGATCTGTATCTTGTTCTGGTCTGAAAAAAATACGGTGACCACCAGAGGGCAGCAAAAAGACCCAGAAGTCCCCCATCTCTTTGCTGCCATCTTGTGGACATTTGGATGCTTTCATGCAAAGCATCCAAATGTTTTCACGGTGGATTGCTGAGTAGTTTGTGAAAGCTTTTTTTCTGCTCTTGTTTCTAACATTGCGTATGAATAATGGGAAGTGCAAATACAAAAAAATATATACAGTGGATATGAGGATCTAAAAACGCAAGGGATATGGGAAGTATTCTTTGACCCTTCCTTGCTATGGCTTGTTTTTTTTTTTTTGTGAACTTGTCTTTCTGATGCCCTTTTCTGTCTTTTTCCCTGTGAAGCCAACAAACCCAAATAGAGGCTGGTTTATCGCACCGTTCGGAGGAAACCCGTGGTGGGTGTATCTGGCCGCAGCTATTCCTGCTCTCCTGGTGACCATCCTCATCTTCATGGACCAGCAAATCACAGCTGTTATTGTCAACCGTAAAGAGCACAAACTAAAGGTGGGTGCCTCGTTAGGCAAGCTTTGAACGGGGATGAACCAAATTGTTTTAAAGAGTAAATTGGGGTAGATCTCGCTAGGAGATTGGGGCAGTTAACTGTGCTGAGGACAATGGTGATAAGTTCCAATGAGGTCTCCTTGGAAGCAGTTCATTGCTTAAAATAATGCGTCGAGGGATGCATTATTAAGTGGTCATCCTTGGTTGTATAAACAGAGGCATGGAATCAAAATCACGTGAAATACCGTATTTTCCGGAGTATGAGACGACTTAGCGTATAAGACGACCCCCGACTTCGGAGACGATTTGCATGCTTAGAAAGTCGTCTTATATGCCGGAAACTACCGTAATTTCTGGCGTATAAGATGACTCGGCGTATAAGACGACCCCCAACTTCGGAGACAATTTGCATGCTTTAGAACAGTGGTTCTTAACCTTTTTAATGCCGTGACCCCCCAACCGGTCATAAGTCGAGGACTACTCAACCGGTCGTAAGTCGAGGACTACTCAACTGGTGCAGCACCGTTTGCAGAATGGGACTTTTGGCGGGCTCCGCAGGGCAGAGACAGCCTGGACAATTCCTATTGGCTTTTGAAAGCCAATAGAATTAGACTCTATTCAAGAGAGTCTATTCTATTGGCTTTCGAAAGCCAATAGAATAAAAGGGAGTAGCACAGCTAAGGAAAAGGGGGGGGGAATGGCGGACTGCTTTAGAAAGTCATCTTATACGCCGGAAAATACGGTATTAGTACCGCTTTATGAAGCCTTAGTAAGGCCACACCTGGAATACTACATCCAGTTTTGGTCACCACATTACAAAAACAACGTTGAAACTTTGGAAAAAATGCAAAGAAGAGCAACTAAGGTCTGGAGACTAAAACATATGAAGAATGATTGCAGGAATTGCGTATGACTAGTCTAGAGAAAAGAAGAACTAGGGGTAACATAATAGCAGTAATCCAGTATTTGAGCAACTGCCACAAAGATGAGGGGGTCAACCTATTTTCCAAAGCACCAGAAGGCAAAACAAGAAACAAGGGATGGAAACTAATCAAGGAGAGAAGCAACCTGGAACTAAGGAGAAACTTCATAACAGTGAGGACAATTAACCAGTAGAAAAGCTGGCCTTCAGAAGTTGTGGGTACTTCATCACTGGAAGCTTTAAAGAAGAGACTGGACAGCCACTTGTCTGAAATGGTAAAGGGCAGGGGTGTCAAACTGCCGGCCCGCCGGCCACACGCGTCACGTGGAAGCCGCACCCACCCCATTGCCGGCAATGGTAAAACAGTCCCGATACGTCGCGCGACATCATGTGACGTCACGAGTTTGACATGTCTGGTATAGGGTCTCCTGCTTGAGCAAGAGGGTGGACTAGAAGACCTCCAAGGTCCCTTCCAACTCTATTCTGGTTGAATCTATGGTGCATTTAGAGTATTTTAGATAATGATTCCCAGAAGACCTTAACAATGATGAAAGATTAAGATTATGAGTTTTTAATCCCAAATTCTAAAAGACCTCAAGAAATCTAGGTGGGAATTAGTTTCCATCCATTACTTGTTATCCTGCCTTCAGGTGCTTTGGAGAATATAATTCTCCCCAACAATTTGGAGAATTTAACTTGCCTTCTCCAGTGGCATCTTAACAGATAAGTGATTAAATCAACGTGGCCTCCACAGTCACCTTGTGTTTGCCCCTAGGAAAAGAGTGAGAAATGCTTTCTGAAGAAATATAAATGGGCTTTGTCTTGGCTCTGGACCAGGAAACACAGCTGGGCCAACCCTTCAGCCTGGAAGGAAATATCTCTGAATCCCACCAGCTGTTTATTATTGCGAAATCAACATTTATCAATTGACCCCTCCCTTCATTTCATCTCAGGCTTCATTTTTCTCCAAATGCAAAACTCTACCAACCACAGAGCTTGGATAAATCAGGATAACCCATCTTTGTAGGCCGGAAATCCAGACTCTTTGCAGGTGGCTGGAGGCGTGACCAGAATCCCCACCAAAAAAATGACAGAGAAGGTTAGAAGGAAGAAGGAGACATTTGAGAAGCACCTAAGATCCTGCTGGATCTATATTGCTGCAGCCCAGGTTTAGGATAGCTGTGTATCCCCTCCGTTTTTATCCAGCCGATTTACCCATCGGAAGTTGAAGAGAAGACAAGAGTTTCAGCACAAACCTTTTAGGAAATCATTTAAGAAACTGCTTGCCTTAAACAAGAATTAACTTAGTTCTTTCCCAGGAGGTATCTGGGAGTGTATATTTCCATCTGCAGGCATGTGGTCACAGAACTGGATGGATAGTCCAACAATAATAAATGGAACGACAGTTGAAATACTTCTGCAGCAATCCTAGGCTGCTTCATCCGAGCGATAAAAATCAAGATCACATGAAGTGTTAGTATCAATTTATAATGCCCTGGTAAGACCACACTTGGAATACTGTATCCAGTTTTGGTCATCACAACACAAAACAGATGTTGAGACTGGAAAGAGTGCAAAGGAGAGCAACAAATATTATTAGGGCAGTGGTTCTCAACCTGTGGATCGGGACCCCATTTGGGGTCGAACGACCATTTCACGGGGGTCGCCAAACAACGCAGTCCACCATTTTTTTTCCCCCTTTTCCTTAGCTGTGCTACTCCCTTTTATTCTATTGGCTTTTGAAAGCCAATAGAATGGACTCTCTTGAATAGAGTCTAATTCTATTGGCTTTCAAAAGCCAATAGGAATTGTCCAGGCTGTCTCTGCCCTGCTGAGCCCGCCAAAAGTCCCATTCTGCAAACGGTGCTGCACCAGTTGAGTAGTCCTCGACTTACGACCGGTTGAGTAGTCCTCGACTTACGACCGGTTGGGGGGTCACAGCATTAAAAAGGTTGAGAACCACTGTATGAGGGGATTGGGGACTAAATCCTATGATGAACGGTAGCAGGAATTGGGTATGTCTAATCTAGTGAAAAGAAGGAATAGTGTTGACAGTATGTTCTTGCCCTATATAGAAATATCTATACCTCCAGGTTTTTTTTACTTAGCTAGGTGTAAAGTCCAACTAAGTATCCCAATTCTTGAGAGGCTGTCACAGAGAAGAGGTGGTCAACCTATTCTCCAAAGCACCGGAAGGGAGGAGAAGAAACAACAGATGGAAACTCATCAAGGAGAAAATGAACCTAGAAATAAGGAGAAATTTTCTGACAGTAAAATCGGTTAATCAATGGAATGGCTTGCCTTCAGAAGACATGCTCTATCACTGGAGGTTTCTGATAAGAGGTTGGACAGCCGTTTGTCTGAAATGGTATAGAGTCTCCTGCTTGACCAGGGAGTTGGACTAGAAGACCTCCAAGGTCCCTTTATTCTGTTAAGATTATAGCTTTGCAACATATAGAGGCAGAAGGGATTATCGTCAAGCTCGATGGGATTTAACACCCATCTAAGTCAAAAGAAGTGGAGATACAGATCATTTGTGTAGGACAAGAACGTATCATCCCCTTTGTTATGCTACGGCAGACATGTCAAACTCGCGACGTCACATGACGTCACGCAACGTATCGGGACGGTTTTGCCATTGCCGGCAATGGGGTGGGCATGGCTTCCGCGTGACGCTTGACACTCCTGTGCTATGGGGTTTCATTGGCTGAGCTCCTACTCCATAAGAATCATACTTCTTATGGAATTGTGGGCAGGATGGTTTCCCATTGGAGGCATCTCCCCCTTGTCCTGTCCTTATACTCCTAGGAGTATCCTTTCTCTCCAGCATCCAAGATGTCATTGTGCTTTCATATTTTTCCCACCTCCTACTACAGGGGTCTTCAAACTTGGTCCTTTGATGACTTGTGGACTTCAACTCCCAGAATTCCTCAGCCAGGCACGCTGGCTGAGGAATTCTGGGAGTTGAAGCCCACAAGTCATAAAGGGGCCAAGTTTGAAGACCCCCGTTTTAAGGTTTCAAATAGAGGTGGCAGAGGGGTAAAATAAGAATATATGTTCAATGGAAAGCAATGTTCTCTCTTGAATCTGTTTTCAATCATCTTAATGGTCTCCCCATGGCTGCTAATACACTCAAAATACAAAATACATCAAGTTCAATAGAGAAAGAAGTATTTCTCTTAACAGTACATTTCTTCACTTTCTCTACTTTTCCATTTTTGGCTTATTTCCAAAGTTCTTTGATCCGTGCTTTTTTTGTAGTGAGATCTTCACTAAGTTGAATTTTTATTCTTCATAGCTAACTTGAGACACTAGCAAGAGAGGTGCTATTTTCTTTTAAGCTGCCTACAAGGCAAAGATAGACATGCTTCAAACAACACCAGATTTGAGAACAAAATGACAGCCCTGTTAAATTTGCAGGGTGAAAAAAAAAATTGGGACAAGAACAAGATGCAAATCTTGGTGCTAATTAACTTCTTTTCAAGATTTGCAGGGTGTCTGCTTTAGGCTACACTACTTCCAAAAAGTATATCTGTCCTTGAGAATAATTCCATCATTTGCAGGTGAAGTCTGAATTTCATTTAATTTGACTCTACACCCTGATGGCTCACTCACATTACTTTATTTTCATACGTTTCAAGATAGTAGTAGTAGTAGTAGTAGGTTGGAAGGGACCTTGGAGGTCATCTAGTCCAATCCCCTGCTCAGGCAGGAAAACCTATACCATTTCGGACAAATGGCTGTCCAGTCTCTTCTTAAAAACTTGCAACAGTGTTGGAGCATTCACTGCTTCTGGAGGCAGGTTGTTCCACTGTTAATTGTTCTCACTGTCAGGAAGTTTCTCCTTAGTTCTAGGTTGCTTCTCTCCCTGATGAGTTTCCATCCGTTGCGTCTTTTCCTTCCTTCAGGTGCTTTGGAGAAGAGCTTGACTCCCTCTTCTTTGGGGCAGCACCTGAGATATTGGAAGGCTGCTATCATGTCATCCCTTGTCCTTCTCTTCCTTAAACTAGACATGCCCAATTCCAGCAACCGTTCCTCATATGTTTTAGCCTCCAGTCCCCTGATCATCTTTGTTGCTCTTCTCTGCACTCCTTCTAGAGCCTCAACATCCTTTTTACATCGTGGTGACCAAAACTGGATGCAATATTCCAAGTGTGGCCTTTACCAAGGGATTGTAAAGTGGTATTAACACTTCAAGTTCGGATAACATCTGGGTTCAAACAACCTAGTCATGTTGTACCCTAGCCTAGACTATGAGCCGTGGTGGCGCAGTGGTTAGAATTGCAGTATTGCTAGCAGTTCGATCCTGACCAGCTCAGCCTTCCATCCTTCCGAGGCCGGTAAAATGAGGACACATATTGTTGGGGGCAAATATGCTGACTCTGTAAACTGCTTAGAGAAGGCTGTCAAGCACTACGAAGCGGTATATAAGCTGAAGTGCTATTGCTGTTCTTCAGCTTCAGGGTTGCCATCCTCCTGGCAAAACCTCATGCTTCAAATTAACACTATCCTTTTTCCCATCTCTCTTTTGCAGAAAGGTGCTGGATATCACCTGGATCTATTCCTGGTGGCTGTGCTGATGATCATCTGTTCCTTCATGGGTCTGCCCTGGTATGTGGCTGCTACCGTGATCTCCATTGCACACATCGACAGCTTGAAGATGGAAACGGGGACCTCAGCACCTGGCGAACAGCCCAAATTTTTGGGAGTCAGGTATGCTGAACTGGTGGGAAGGGAGATTGAGTCCTACACATTCTAGGAAGCTGCGTAGCCTGGCATTCTTCACAGACCAGAAGCTTCAGGCTGTATTTTCCCTGAACAGTTGGAGCAAACATAGCATAGAGCAGGGGGTCTTCAAACGTGGCCCTTTTATGACTTGTGGACTTCAACTCCCAGAAGTCCTCAGCCAGGCACGCGTGCCACTGAATGATGGGTTTTCTAGTCCAATTGGGGTCATAAGTCAGTGGTTCTTAACCTTTTTATACTGGCGACCCCGGTCATAAGGACGCACCGCGCATGGGTGGCGCAGTGTGCATGCGCGGCACCGCCAGCTGAAAAAAAAATGGCGGATCGCGTTGTTTGGCGACCCCCGTAAAATGGTCGTTCGACCCCAAATGGGGTCGCGACCCACAGGTTGAGAACCGCTGTCATAAGTGAAAGACTACCTGTATTTGCTCTCCCATACATTAGAAGTGTAGTCCGATTCATTCCTGCATTCGCTCAGATACCAATTTGCTGGTAGTGGCAATAAGCAGAATTAGTAAAATCCTAAATTCTGCTGAATTGCTGAAAAAAACAAATGCCTTTTTTTTTTTTGGCTAATATTGCTTGAGAGTTCCCGTGCCCAAAGGTCCTACTTCAAAGCTCCAATTCATAAGCATTTGTGGGTTATCACTACATTCATACTAAGCCATTATTCATTTAGCCGTGATTTGACTAAATCACAAGCCGTACGTGGGCTTACTATTTACGTGTACATCGCTAAGCCACAGACCACTTTACAATTTACAATAGCTGGGTTCTCACAATTCGCTAAGCTCCAATCAAACCACCCAAGCCATGGTTTGTGACCTCAGCTGACGAACCCAATGTCTCCATCTATTTCAGGGGTCTTCAAACTTGGCCCTTTTATGATGTGTGGACTTCAACTCCCAGAATTCCTCAGCCAGCGTGCCTGGCTGAGGAATTCTGGGAGTTGAAGTCCACACATCATAAAAGGGCCAAGTTTGAAGACCCCTGGCTTAGAGCAATGAGACTCAGACATAGATAACGTAGAGTAGATTGTGGGGTCCTTGATGCTCTCTGATCTTGGGAGTTTTCTCGCAAGGCGTTTCGTTACCAAACTAGGTGATATCATCAGTGCTAGAAGAGAATGGGAAAGATTGATGGCTGTTAATCAGCTGGGATGCATACTGGGGAAATTAAGGACAGGACTGCACAGGGAATCCATTGTGATTCTCGCCACCATTTAAGTTACTCTTTGTCTTTCTAATTGTGGGAATCCTGAACCCTTTTAGAGGCTTAAGGTGGAAAAGGAATTCTTAAAGGTAAGAAAATATAATGCAAAACAACAACTGCTGTTCTTCAACCACGTGCAGGCTTCCATAAAAGACCGCTTCCCTGCGGGAATGTGTGTTTATCCATAGATTGTGTTTTCCTTCTCCCTTAAAGCAGAGGTCCCCAACCACTGGTCCACAGCCCACTACCGGGCCTTGAGCCGTTGAGAACCAGGCCACGGAAGTGGCGGGTGAACGTGTGTGCACCAAACCCCACTTGCAGAAGTGGCTTGTGGAAATGGAGCTGTGTGCACGCGCATGTGCCCACCGCACACGCAGAACCATCCCCTCGCCAGTCCACAAAGCCAGACAGGTCGAGGAGCTCTGCCTTAAAGATTTAAGAATGTAAAGTATTTGAAAAGCTGGATGAGGTTGCAGGATAAATGTGGGTCAGTTGAACAAGGCGTAGCCGCTACGTCAGTGGTTCTCAACCTTTTTAATGCCGCGACCCCCAAACGGTCGTAAGTGGGAGGACTACTCAACCGGTCGTAAGTCGAGGACTACTCAACTGGTGCAGCACCGTTTGCAGACTGGGACTTTTGGCGGGCTCAGCAGGGCAGAGACAGCCTGGACAATTCCTATTGGCTTTTGAAAGCCAATAGAATTAGACTCTATTCAAGAGAGCCTATTCTATTGGCTTTCAAAAGCTAATAGAATAAAAGGGAGTAGCACAGCTAAGGAAAAGGGGAAAAAAATGGCGGACTGCATTGTTTGGTGACCCCCGTGAAATGGTCATTTGACCCCAAATGGGATCCCGACCCACAGGTTGAGAACCACTGCGCTACGCCTCTGCCTTCAATGGTGCTAAGATTAGTGTTGATAGATGCAGTTCAGTACAGTACCTCTAGTGAGGCTACACTTGGAATACTGTGTCCAGTTCTGGTCGTTATGATACAAAAAAAGATGCTGAGGCCCTAGAAAGCATGCAGAGAAGAGCAACAAAGATGATCAAAGGTCCGGAGTCTAAATCGTATGATGAACAATTGAGAGTACTAAGAAAGAGAAGGACGAGGGGAATGACGTGATAGCAGTCTCCCAATATTTGAGGGGCTCTCACAGAGAAGAGGGAATTGACTTATTCTCTAAAGCACCTGAAAGCAAAACAAGAAGCAATCGATGGAAACTGATCAAGGAGAGAAGCAACCTAGAACTAAGGAGAAATTTCCTGACAGTGAGAACAATCAATCAATGGAATGGCTTGCCTCTAGAAGTTGTGCGTGCTCCAACACTGGAGGTTTTAAAGAAGAGATTGGACACCCATTTGTCTGAAATGGTGTAGGGTTTCCTGCCCGAGCAGGGAGTTGGACTAGATGACCTCCAAGGTCCCTTCCAACTTTACTACTATTACTACTATTACCTCCAAGGTCCCTTCCAGCTCTACTCTGATTCTAATTTTAATAATTAGGCAAAGTCAGACAGCTGTTGGAATGTGACAAATGTCCTTCAAATAAGAGTTGATTATTTTATTCCTGGATTTGTTTTCAGGGAGCAGAGAGTGACTGGATGCCTCGTATTCATTCTGACAGGCGTTTCGGTGTTCATGGCGCCCATCTTGAAGGTAAATCCCTTTTTTATTTGTTTATCTCTTCCCCATCCTTCTTAGAATTCTGAAATAATACGCCCTTAGCCAGAAAGTTCAAAAAAGCAACGTATTTTTAATATATTAAAAGGACTGAAATGAAACCATTAAGATCAAAACATTATTGCTGTGATTTTAAGAACAGAGGAAATTCCTAAGAAACTTACTCAAGAGGAGAGGAATCACAGCGGAAAGAGGAGAAATTTTGCCTTGGCATTTGCAGAAAATGTTTTTGCAACTGCATAGGCCGGGGTAGGCAACCTTGGCTCTTTTATGACTTGTGGACTTCAACTTCCCGAATTCCTGAGCCAGCATGGCTCAGCTTGGAAACTCTCCCTTTCCCCTCAGCATGGCTGGCTCAGGAATTCTGGGAGTTGAAGTCCACAAGTCATAAAGCGGCCTAGGCCTAGGCCAGAAATAGGTAACCTTGGCTCTTCTATGACTCGTGGACTTCAACTCCCAGAATTCCTGAGCCAGCCATACTGAGGGAAAGGGAGAGTTTCCAAGCTGAACCAGGCTGGCTCAGGAATTCTGGGAGTTGAAGTCCACGAGTCATAAAGCAGCCTAGGCCTAGCCCAGAGGCAGGCAACCTTGGCCCTTTTATGACTCGTGGACTTCAACTCCCAGAATTCCTGAGCCAGCCATGCTGAGGGGAAAGGGAGAGTTTCCAAGCTGAGCCATGCTGGCTCAGGGATTCTGGGAGTTGAAGTTCACCAGTCATAAAAGAGCCAAGGTTGTCTACGCCTGACATAGGCTGAATTTAGGGACAATTATGGGCAGGTTTTTTTTTTTTTTTTTGTCTTAGCCAAATTTTTCTGGGGTAGAATCCCATGATTTTGGACAAATTGTACCTGGGGAAAAAGAGTTACTATTGCCATTTACAAAATAAAACCAGGTTTCCAAATCAAGAGGGACAAAAATGTCTGTCCGTCTAATCCTTTATATAGCCATCCATCTCGTGCATGTGACTCTGAACAGTCTACAATAAAACAGGATACAAGCACATCTTAAATAACCATAAAAACAGGAAACATCCACGTCATCCCAGAAAGTTTTTTAAAACTCAGACATTGTAGAGCATCTTGTGTGCTCCCCGGTTCCAGGTGTTCCCCCAGGCCTGTTGAAAAAACCAAGAGCAATAATCCTCGACTTACAACTGGTCACTTAGCTTTCTGGACACTTGGCAGCTGTCCCGCCTTGACAGCAATTAGCAGCATTCCTGTGTTTTACGATGGTTGGCTGGCAACCCCAGTTTCCATCAAAAGTGCACGGCAAACAACGGGGTTGCTTAATGACCACAGTGGTCATAAAATTGGGTCCAGTCATGTGACGATTTCTTTTACAACCAATTACCACTGTAATAGTTGGGGTCAGTTATGGTAATAACTCAGGGACTACCTGTAAACACATTGTTGTGGACCTAGAGCAGTGGTTCTCAACCTTTTTAATGCCGCGACCCCCAACCGGTCGTAAGTCGAGGACTACTCAACTGGTCATAACTTGAGGACTACCCAACTGGTTGTATGTCGAGGACTACCCAACCGGTCATAAGTCGAGGACTTTCCCTGCGCGGGAGCGCCGCACATGCGTGGTGCTGCCCCCTGCACTGGCCGAGGCGTAGCTGGCAAGGGGCAGCTACGGCACAGGGCGACTACCGGCTGGGCCACCAAGGGAGGTAAGGCACCCGGCGGGCCCCACGCGTGCCAGCAACCCTCCCTGTGCCCGCCGGCCTCCCACCTCCCACCCCTGGCCCTCTTTTACTTACATTTTTAGTAGTTGCTCAGCAGGGAGGGGTGGAAACTTCCAGACAGCTCGCCTTCGCTGCAGACAACTTGCAGCATCGTTTGCAGAATGGAATTTTTGGCGGGCTCAGCAGGGCAGAGACAGCCTGGACAATTCCTATTGGCTTTTGAAAGCCAATAGAATTAGACTCTATTCAAGAGAGTCTATTCTATTGGCTTTCAAAAGCCAATAGAATAAAAGGGAGTAGCACAGCTAAGAAAAAGGGGGGAAAATGGCGCACTGCGTTGTTTGGTGACCCCCTTGAAATGGTCGTTCGACCCCAAATGGGGTCGCGACCCACAGGTTGAGAACCGCTGATCTAGAGCATTTTTTTGAAGACCTAAGGAGGTCTAAAGTTAATGTTGATGGTCAAGAGCTATAGGTGTTTAATTGGGCAGCTAAGGGAAAGTTATGTTAAGTAATGACCTTCATTTTTTAATATCTGCTTGGTACGTAGGGCAGTTTTCCCCTAGCACAGGAGTCCCCAACATGTGAGCCACAGCCCACTACAGGCCCGTGGCCTATTCGCAACCAGATCGCATGAGTGGCTGGCTAGAATGCATGCATGCCCATGCAGGCATGCATGGCCACACTCATGCAAGTGTCACGGGCCATCGCTTCTGTATGTGTGCAAACGTCGCAGGCACTCGGGAACCCACTTGTACAAGTGTCACGGGTGCTCAGGGTCCCACTCAAGAGCTTCATGGGTGCTCTTGGCCACGTGCAAGCAATGGGTGCTCATGTGCGCACCCGTACGCACCTGCTCCTCCCACAAAACTGCCCGTTCTTTTGTCCCTCCTGCCCCCGGGCCACCAATCAAGAAAGGTTGGGGAACTCTGCTGTAGCAGCACCTGGGAGTACAAGACCACCCATTTGGGAGATGCTAAGTGTCTCCACTTTGGGGATGATGAATGGACAAAAAAAAAAAAAAAAAAGAACCAGGACCACACATTAAGTTCCAGTTAACCTGATTAATTTCTATATCCACGAATCTAGTCAACTAATGGTCAGCACTAAATTGGCCTTAGATAAGAACTAACAGAGTTGGACTTGGGTTGCTTATGGGAATGTAACAATTCTAGGCTGATTCCTCTCTTGACTCCACCCCCACAGGCTCTGCCTTCTTCTTCTCCTACAGCAGACATCAAATTCGCAACGTCACGTGACGTCGCACAACATATCGGGACGGTTTTGCCATTGCCGGCAAAGGGGTGGGCACGGCTTCCGGATGATGCATCTGGCCAGTGGGCCGGCAGTTTGACACCCCTGTCCTACTATAGCTTTCCCAAAATTCTGGGAAATTACTGCCAACTCCCCAGTTCTGATACGGGATTTTGGCATGTGCTTGCAGACTTTCTACATTGTGAAGTGTTCAGATTTGGTTGTATGACCATGTTACTGGGGTCCAGCTGTGCCCTATCGTTGAAAATAATTGCTTAGCAGGACTGTGGGTGCATTAGCTGTACAGTAGCTGTAGCAGTTCTGGTTTGCATGATTCGTACAGGAAGAATAGAATTTTGAATCTTGAAAATCAAGGTGTGGGAATGGCCTTCAGAACTGCAGTGGATCATAGCAAATTCCAAGGGATATGTTGCGGGCTGTAAACAAAGAGATCCATCATTTTAATGTGTTTTTCCCCCCCTGCTGGGCATGAAGAGCCAGAGAAAGTGCAATTAGAATTCTGCTCATTTCTTTGTTACTTTTTTTTTTTTAAAAAAATACCTTTTCCTCTCTCTGGTGCTTCAACAGCTCCTTCGTTGTTTATTAACAGACTGGTTAAGATTGCGTAATTACTGTTGTGCAGAAGTGTCTGCATTGCAAACAAAAATAGGTGAGAACAATTCTGCACTGAAGTAATTTAGTTAGATTGTAGAGCAGGGGTGTCCAACCTTGACAACTTGGAGACCTGTGGACTTCAACTCCCAGAATTCTCCAGCCAGCCAGCCATTTTATTTTAATTTTAATGCTGACTGAGGAATTTTGGGAGTTGAAGTTCAAAGGTCTTAAAGTTGCCAAGGTTGGCACATCTACTGTAGAGTGTGCTAGGAGGTGTCTGTTTTGCCAAGGATCAAGGCAGTGTTCAGGTGCCCAGGCAATTATCTCTTCTGGATCCAGAGACAATAAAGCAAAGCAGTGATTAATGGGGTTTGAAGGTTTATTATTAGCTCAAATGGACAAGAGCTAAAACATAGATATATAGATATAGATAGACAGATAGAAAGATAGATATATTAATTTTTTATAATCACAAATGCTTAATATTTTATCAGCAACATATTGACTGGGTTCCAACATTTAACTTATTAATACATGTTAAATTCCTTTCTCTCTACCTCATTTCTCTAGCCATGTTCTAAAAGTATACTGAATCTTCTTTCTCTTTCATTTTCAATGTCAATCTATCCATTTCTGCACAATCTAAATTTTTTTAGTTAACTCTTCCTCCGTTGGTAAATCTTCATTTTTTCCAGTGTTGAGCGAATACAATTCTCACTGCAGTCCATACCTGTAAAATTAGATATATACCTTCTTTCTCATAATTTCCTACAATTATGCCTAACAAAAATAATTCTGGCTTAAAATCTATATGTTTTTCTACGCAAGGCTGTCAGGAGCTCTATAATAACGACAGCAGAGAAGTGCCAAGGTGGAGAGCAGTGTCCACAGAATCTAATGTTAGATTTTGTGCAGAAACTCTCAACAAACAACACAACCTCAAGGTTTTTATCAAAACCTGGGGCCATTAAGTCCTGCTATGGTCAGGGGACTGTAAGACCTGACCTTGACCAGCTGGCACATCATTCTGGGCTGGGAATCAAAAGTGTGAGACTTTCACAGCAGAAAAAGCTTTGAAGTGGTGTGAAGATTCTTCCCCCTTCTCCTTTATTTAGTAAACAAAAGTATAAAAAAAAAACCAAGCAAGCTAGCTAAAACCGAGCTCTAAACGTCTAGACCAGGGGTAGGCAACCTTGAGTCTTTTATGACTCATGGACTTCAACTCCCAGAATTCCTGAGCCAGCATGGCTCAGCTTGGAAACTCTCTCTTTCCCCTCAGCATGACTGGCTCGGGAATTCTGGGAGTTGAAGTCCACGAGTCATAAAAGAGCTGAGGTTGCCTACCTCTGGCCTAGGCCTAGGCCGCTTTATGACTCGTGGACTTCAACTCCCAGAATTCCTGAGCCAGCCTGGCTCAGCTT